TTCATGGCTTCACTGTATACTAACTTCAATTTAAGCTCTTTCTCTGTATTTCAGCTCTTATCCATATTAACCAACTATTTGTCTTGTGTTTAGATACCTCAAAAGAGAAGATATGATGGAGTTAAAGTTGTCTAAGTTGGTCAGATTCTCTGTGCTGGTAGCCAGCCCAGGGATTAGCTGTACTCCAAGCAAATGTTCAGTTGTGGTCCAGTGCACCAGAGTGCAGGGAGCCCCTAGTTAGGCATTCACAGTAACAGGCTACTCTCTTTAGTATACATGCTTTTCAGATTGTAATTATAAGATATTTCTATTGTTTTAAAGTTTTCATTATTAAAAATAGCACTACAGTTCAGAAGCAGGGGAAATAAAGTTCAAAACTTACCTTAATTCAAAATAACAATGCAGTAATGATGTCTAAAAGCCCTTAATATTAGAAGATAACAAGAAACGTAGAAGACTTAAAAACCGAAGTAAAAAGGACTGGGGATTATGTGGACCTGAATTATAGAAAAAATTGAAATGCATTTAAGAAAACTTGGTTAATGAACCTAAACTTCTCTCATAGCAAAATACCTAGTTAATACCAAACAAAAGATTTTAACAGAAAAAAAAAAATCATGGTGATGTTGCATGTTATAAACTGATTTGAAGTATTTACTTAGCAACTGTTGTCCATTACTGAAAAATAGGTTCTATTTTTATAAAAGTATTATGAAACAAATGTCTTTATTTATGAAACAAATGTCCCTTTCCATAACAGTGCTGCAGAAAGCTTGATTAACTTTTTAGTGTATCTGTGCCATTGAAACCATTTTCTTCTGATACATTTCTAGAAATAAAATTATTGGGTCAGCTGGCCCATGGGTGGGGGTAGGAATATTTTTAAAGATTTTTGTTATGTCCTATCAGATCAGATTCTTCACTGTTGTATCAGTTTGTAAATTTTTTTCTTTATATAAAGTTGAGATCATGGTAATTTTGTACTTTTCATGTTATTTGCAAATTTCTTCTAGTAATTGTCTTAATATTCTGCTGAGATGCATGCTATAGCTTACTTAACCAATCTTGTAATGTTGTGAATGATTATTTTTGTGAATAAAGTTTCAGTACATAAATGTGTTAATTTTTATCCACATTTCAGGGTTTTTGTTTGTTTCTTTTCTTTTCTTTTGAGACTGGGTCTTGCCATGTATTTCAGGGTGTCCTTGAATTCACTCTGTAGCTCAGACTGCCCCCAAGCTTTCAGAGATCCTCCTGCCTTAGCCTCCCAAGTGCTGGGGTTACAGGTGTGCACCAACACACCAGGTTTAGGGCTATTTTTTAAGTTACATTTCTAAAAGAAAATTCACTGTGACAAAGATATAAATATTTTTAATGCCAAATTGATTTCTAGAATATGGTGGTAACAATTTATAGTTTCACTGACAGTATATATTTTCCATCTTAAGATCTGGCTAACATTTTTAAAAATTGTGTTAGTCTTTTAGATAACTGAATTAAGATGCTACCCACCTTGAGTCATATCATTTTTAAATTATTGAGTGCTATTTCTATCTTTTTAGATTAAGAGAATGTCGGGTATTAAAATCTGAGAGGAATTTAGCTTTCTACTCTTTGTAGGAACCATTGCATTTCATTTGATGGGATGAAATGTAACCTTTACAATACTGTGGCAGGCCATTGTACTTTATCTTAGAACAAAGTTACTTTTACCGTATTTAAGAAGTAATTTATAATGTTAATTTGAACTGAAACATATATCCTGTTTTCATTATAACATCTTCTGATTCCTACCAAACTGGGGTGGGGGGGAGAGCCAGAAGTAAGGTAGTATCAAGATTGAGCTATCTATATCAAATCAACACCCTTAAAATGAGACACACCTGTTATCCCAGCTACTTGGTGGCTGAGACAAGGTGATTGCAAGTTCCAGGCCCCTTAGGCAACTTGGTGGGACTCTATCTCAAAATAGGGCCTTGAAATATAGTTCATTGGTAAAGTGTTGCCTAGGCTCTAGCATGTGGTAGGTAGGCCCTGAGTTCAATCTCTAGTACTGAAAATTAAAATTAAAATTAAAGGTGACATTTTGCAGTTATATTAGCTTTTTGCAGTTACATTGGCTTTTCCTGTCCATTTAGTAAGATGGTCTTGCTAAAACTTTACCTGACGCTAATCTTTGGCTGGCCTAGATTTAAAAAAAAGAAAAAGAAAAGGCTTTGGCAGAGATGAAAGACATAGCAAAGGAAGTATTTGCTGTGGCCCATGCCAAGTAAGACATTCTGATGCTCAGGCTCTTTGCTAGGAGAAAGCATACTATGTGAAAGAGGACTTGCTGAAAGGAGTTGTTTTCAACTGCTCTGATGAGAGCAGTTTCTTCAGTGAACTAGTGTAGAAGAAAGCCTGGATTGTAGTGCTTGAATAATGAATGGGAGCTGAGGTAAAGATAACGAATGTAAAGAACTCTTTGAAGACATTGAAGCAGGAAAAGAGATGAATGCCATCATACATTGAGGGAGAAGAAAAACACATATAAAACATTCAGCCTGGGAAGACTTACGTGGGTTTGTAGGTAGAGGGAGAAATACAGTAGATTGCAGGAAGCTAAAGGAGATGCAGTTGGGAGCTAGTGGAAGCTTTCTTCTACTAAGAAAGAAGGTAAAGATACTAAAGACTAAACTCAGAAGGAGGCAAGGTAAAGCAGTTTATGTTTGATGATATCTTTTTCTCTTGGACTTACCAACTATGGTTATCTGCAAAAAAGAGTAAGTTTTGAGAACAAAGTTGAAGAGCAACAACTATGGAGCATGGAAAAGGTAATTGATTAGGAAATAAATGAAGATTGCTTTAGTAATAATAAGTACTGAAGGTAGAAATAATAATTATGTGATTTTCTTTTCTCTAGTAGCTTCAGCCAGGGGAATTGACACGAGAAAAGTAAACAGTTTAATTGCTCCTGGGAGTAAAAAAACATTGCAGAGAGGGTTGTTGGAGTGTGGTGGTTGGAATGATTGATATGGCTGGGCATGGCTGTGCATGCTTGTAATCCCAGCAGTTTGTGACGCTGAAGCAGGAGGATGAGGAGCAGGAGCCTGGGTATTTATTGGAGAGTCTGTCTTAAAAAAAAAATTGATTATGTAGTTCTGGCAGATAAGGAAGAAAATAGAGTCATAGGCTGCAGCTTAGAGATGTGAGAAGCAGTAAGTTATAACCAGAAACTAAAAACCTTGATAAGGATGGGAAAAGTGAAATGATTAATAGTAGTGGTAAAATAATTTTATAGTTTAAAATTTCAGAGGTGATGGAATATTGGGTGTATCATAGTGAATGGCTTCATGAATTGGATGAAGGTGAATTTTCTCAATTGATAAGAGAATTTCTAAGAGACATTTCAATAGGATTTTTAGTTAAGGATTATTTTTTTTTCTAAGAGAAGATGGAATTTCCTGATAGCAGTAGTTCAACCTATTAGGAGTTCCAAAGGAAAGTATTTTTATTTATTTTTATTTTTTATTTTTTGGTACCGGGGATCAAACTCAGGACCTTGGGCTTGCAAGGCAGGCACCAGCACCACTGAGCTAAATCCCCAGCCCAGGAAAGTATTTTTAAAGGGGAGCATATGTCAGGAAAAGGGAGTCTGAATTGGATGAAGATGAAAATGCAGAGTAACAGATTAGAATGGTTTAGACTTTGAGTTATGGCTATACATTGTAGGAATGAGGTTATAGTGACATGGAAATGTGAGTACAGCAGGTGTGTTTTAAGACTAGACCTAGGTGTCAAGTTGCAGTCCTCCTTCAATGTTTTGCCTAGTATATTACATGAACTTTAAAAATTTTCTCAAATTATGTAAAAATAAAATGACCATGTACATTATTCTTTTTTTTCTTTTTGATTCTTTTGAGAGGTCTTTTTATATAACCTAGGCTAGCATCAAACTTGGGGTCTTCCTGTCTCAGCCTCCCAAGTGCTGGGATTATGGGTGTACACTGCCATGCTTGGCTATGTAGATTATTTCTTAAACAAAAAAAGTCTACTATTGTAGGGTCTTCTGACATGTTATATAGAAGTTACGCAGTATTTGTGATTTTTCTCCAAGTACTAAATTTCTAATAGATAAGAGCAAAGTAGGTTAAGTTTATTATCTTTGAAAATAGTTTAAATATTTTATCAATTCTAATGCTATATAATACTTTAACCATTATTTAAGAAAAGGTCTTTTAGGCAATAGGAATAATACAGATATAGTAGATTGTCTACATTTTCTTTTATGCCATCTAAGGCATGGCAGTCAAATAGGTATTTTGTTTTGTTCTGTTTTGTTTTTGGTACTGGGGATTGAACTCAGGTCCTTGAGCTTGTGCCAAATAGGTATTGAAAAGCACCAACACAATTCTTCATACTTTGTCAATTCCCACTTTTTTGTTTATACTTCTCTCCCTTTTTCTTTCTACTTCTCCTTCTCTCTTTTCCCTACGTTTTCCCTTCTCGTTACTTGTGTTTACTCAGGATAACTACTAAAATTCACATCCATTGCATATCTCCACCAGTAAAATTCATAGCTAAGAAATTTTGCTATCCCATCTCTTAAAATAATGTGCATCGTTTGCTCTTTATTCTTACTGCCTCCTCTTTAAAGTATGCTAAACTGTGGACCGAAACTCAGGGAAAAGAAAGAGTTATAGAAATTTGAAAAAAAATGTACTTGAAATTATAGGTGGTAGTTCAAATTAAAGGAATCCTCTGATCTTTTATTTATATATTGGTGATTAGTTAATATTCAGCTTCCTAATGTTAAATGAAAGTCTAGATCAACTGCTAAGATAATTGCTTATTACATTTCATAATTGCTTATTATAATGATTTTGTGTTTCAGACTTTTATTATATCTCAGCCTTCCTCTTTATGTGAATCTACATTGTTTACTTGACCTTTATTAAGTTAAATAATGTAATTTTTAAAACAATAGTGATACATAATAATGTCTTTTTTTTTTTAAATAGATTTGGACTGAGCAACAAATTTGAATCAGAATTTCCTTCTTCATTAACTGGAAAAGTGAGTGTTTCAATTATTTATTGTTTATATGTCTCAAAATTCAAATTTTTCCTAGCAAATTAAAAAGCGCATATGCTAATGAAACATGTTTATTGACATGTTACTATTTTTTAAACTTTTTCTGTAGGTAGCTCCTGAAGAATTTAAAGCCAGCATCAACAGAGTTAATAGTTGTCTTAAGAAGAATCTTCCTGTTAATGTACGTTGGCTGCTTTGTGGCTGCCTTTGTTGCTGCTGCACATTAGGTTGCAGTATGTGGCCAGTTATTTGCCTCAGTAAAAGAGTAAGTTGAATTATATATTTTAATTTAAATTTAGAAGTAGTTAAGTTGTGTATTTATGTAGCTTTTAATTTTTTGTTTTAAATAAACTGTGCTATTCTGGCTGGACATGGTGGCTCATGTTTGTAATCCTAGCACTTAGGAAGCTGAGGCAGAAGGATTGCTGTGAGTTGGAAACCAGCCTGGGATACATAGTGATTTCAAACCCAGCCAAAACTACATAGGAAGACCCTGTCTCAAAGCAAAACAAAACAAAACAATCATGACTAGAAATTCCTTGCCAAATGGGGGAAGTATAATTTTTCTAGTTTATAGCTTGTCTGTTATCTCCTGCATTCTCTTAATGTCTTTGGCAGAGCTAAAGTTTTTAAAGTCCAGTTTATCCTTTAAAAAATGGGTTTTAGTGTCATATTTAAGAATTTCATAAACCAAAGTCATGAAGATTTTCCCCTTTGATCTCTTCTCCATTTTACAATTAGGTCTGTAATATGTTTTGAGTCAATTTTTACATGAGTATGATAGGTCAAAATTCATCTTTTTTGTACATGATTCTCTATATTTTCCAGCACTATTTGTTGAAGTCTTTATCCATTTAACTGCCATTATGTATTGTTAAAAATCAAATGATCATATTTATGTGGGACTGTTCTTGGACTCTATTTGTATTCATCTATATGTCTGTCTTGATCTTAATATCACACTGTCTTATCTACCATAGCTTTATAATAAGTCTTCAAGTCAGATAGAGGAGTCTTACAAATTTCTTTTTTTCAAGATTTTTGTGGTTATTCTGATTTCTTTGTTTTTCCATGTAAATTTTAAAATCAACTTCTTAGTTAATATCCACAAAAGATGCTGAAAGTTTTTTCTTTTTTTTCTGTGGTACTAGGGCTTGAACCTAGGGCTGTCATACTGAGCTACAACGTGTGATCCTCCTTACTCAGCCTACCAGAATGCTGAGATTATAAGTTGTACCACTACACCCACCTAAAACACTGAGATTTTAATTGGGGAGTACATTGAATTTATAGATGAATGTAGGGAGAATTGGCATCGTAATAATATAAATTTTTATATATTGCATTTTTGTTGTTCAGTTAAGAATATTCCTAACTTTCCCTCTTTGACTTACACATTAAGAAATATATTCTTTAGTGTCCAGAAACTTCTGTTACTGATTTATAGTTTAATTATCTTATTGTCTGAGAATATACTTGCTGTGATTTCCCTTAAGTTTGTTAGGTTTATTTTATGGCCTTAAATTTAATTTATCATGGTATTAGGTTCTTAAATTTTTATTTCTATTTTAGCAGGTTTATTGAGGTTATAAGTGACATAGAACAAACTGTGTATGTTTAAAGTATCATTTCATGAGCACACACATATTTACATCAAGATAGTGAACATATTTACTGCCCCCAGAAGTTTGCTTGTGCCTTTTTGTATTCTCTCCCATCCCTTCTAGGTGACTACTGATGTTCTGTATGTCACTGTAGATTAGTTTGCATTTTCAAGACTTTTATATAGATTGAACCATACAATATTCATTCTTTTTTTTCTTTTATTCATTATTTTGAGACTCACCCATGTCTTTGGTTCAATAATTACGTTTTATTGTTGAATAATGTTCTATTGTACGGATATGCTGCATTTTTTAAATCCATTTACCCGTTGCTGGACATTGTTGTCATTTCCAGTTTTGATCTGTGTAAATAAAACTACTATAATATTATTGTTTGACTTTTTTTATGGAAATACACTTTCTTTTCTCTTGAGTAGACCTTCCTAAGAGTAGAATGGCTTGATCGTATAGTACGTATATATTTAACTTTTTAAAGAACAGAGAAACTGCCAAAAAAGAGGTAACTGTTGGGCCAGGGATTTAGCTCAGTGGTGACGCCGCCTGCTTCGCAAGCGCAAGGTCCTGAGTTCGATCCCCAGTACCAAAAAAAAGAGGTACTATTATTTTATATCCTCACAAATGGTATATGATAGATTTTATTCTGCTACATCCTTGTTAATATTTAATGTTAATCTTTTTAATTTCAGCCATTCTCTTAGGTGTTTAGTGTTATTGTTATGGTTTTAACTTGCATTTTCCTAATGATTAATGATGTTACACATCATTTTATGTTTATTTTCTGTCTGTATATGTATGGTGAAATGTTTGTTCTTTTTGCCCAGTATTTGAGCTATTTTCTTATTGTTGAAGTTATGAGAGTTCTTTACGTATTCTGGATACAAATATCTGCTTTGCAGAAATTTCACCTAGTCAGTGGTTTATCTTTTTATCCTCCCAAAATTCGTTTTAGGAAGTGTTTTAATTTTGATGAAATCCAGTTTATCTGTTTGTTCTTTTATGGATTATGCTGTTAGTGTTATACTAGTAACTCTTCCTATGCCAGATCACGAAGATTCCTATATTCTAGAAGATTTATAGGCTTGTGTTTTACATTTTGAGTTAAATTTTTATTTGGTACAATGTATGAAGTTGTTTTTTTTTTGCACCAATTACATTTGTTAAAAAAATGATTGCTGAATTGCCTTTGTATGGAAAAATCGCATGTTATATCTATAAGGGTCTATTTTTTGGCTTGGTTCTGTTTTATCTGTTTATCTTGATAACGATACCATCCTGACTTGAGTATTCTAGCTCTATAATTATATCTTGAAGTTGGGTTATGCAGTTCTCCAATTTGGTACTAATTTTTTGAAGTTGTTTTGCTGTTCCAGGTTGTTGATACTATATATGAATTTTAGAATCAGCCTATTGATATTTACTTCAAAAAACTCCTTGTGGGATTTTAGTTTGGATTGTTTTGAATCTATGGGTCAATTTGGGGAAATTGGCATCTTAAAAAGTTTCTGGTATCTCTTTCCATTTACTTAAGTCTTTTAAAATTTTTCTGAGTGATATTTTATAGCTGTTAGTGACCTGTATATCTTTTGTCAGATTTATCATAAGTATTTTTTATGCTATTTTAAATGGTACAATTGAAACTTTTCAATGTTTTATTTTTCCTTGGTAGAGTTTATACTGAACTTACCTATTTGTTTCAGGAGCTCTTTTGTAGATCCCATTAAGTTTTTTTCTTATATATAGTCATTATCATATACATGAAGACAGTATTAGTTCTTTCTTTCTAATCTAGTTGCTTTTTGTTTCCTTTCCTTGGCCTGTTGCATTGGTTTAGAATTTCCAGAAAAACATTTATTAGAAGTAGTGAGACTTGGCTGGGATTTAGCTCAGTGCTTCCTCTGCCTGCCTCGCAAGTCCCAGGTCCCAAGTTCAATCCCTGTACTAAAAAAAAAAAAGAAAGAAAGTAGTGAGACTGTACCCTTGGTTTGCTTCTAATTTTAGGGGGATTACATTTAGACTTTCATTATTAAGTACTATCATGTTAATTCAAGGGTTTTTATATATGTCTTTCATCTGCCTTGAGCAAGTTTTATATTGTTAGTTTACTAACAGGTTTTTTTAAAGATATGGAATAAATGTTAGATTTTGTTCAGTCCTTTTTCTTTAGTGATGGTTGTATGGTTTTTGTTTTTAGACGATGTTGAATTACGTTGATTTGATTTTTGGATGTTAAACCAACCTTGCATTCCTGAAATGAACCCTACCTAGTGCCCTATATGTTTTGTTTGATACACACACACACACACAC